GTCAACTCCAAATGGATCAAAGACCTCAGTGTAAAGCCTGAAACTCTGAAACTATTAGAAGAAAACATTGGGAAAAACCTACAAGATAAAGGTGTAGGAAAGGATTTTCTAAACTGGACATCAACTGCTCAGGAAACAAGGTCAAGAATCAACAAATGGGACCTCATTAAACTAAAAGGCTTCTGTACATCAAAAGAAGCAACCAAGGAAGTGAAGAGAAAACCCACAGAATGGGAGAAAATCTTCACCATCGACACATTTGACAGAGGTTTGACATCCAGAATATACAACAAACTCAAAAAACAAAGAATCAAGAAAGGAAGTAATCCAATTTTAAAAAGGGCTAAGGAACTGAACAGAGAGTTCTCAAAAGAAGAAAAAAAGGTGGCTAAGAAGCATCTTAAAAGGTATTCAACATCATTAAAATTAGGGAAATGCAAATTCAAACCACTTTAAGATTTCATCTTACCCCAATCAGACTGACTAAGATCAAGAGAACAAATGATACCAAATGTTGGAGAGGATGTGGGGAAAGGGGAACACTCATCCACTGCTTTCACACTCGTGCAACCCCTATGGAAAGCAGTGTAGAGAACTCTTATAAAACTACACATGAACCTACCATTTGACCCAGTTATACCACTCCTTGGCATAGACCCAAAGAACTCATCCTATTGCAGAGACACTTATACAACCATGTTTGTTGCTGCTCTTTTCACAATAGCTAAGAGATGGAAGCAACCTAAGTGTCCCTCAACTGACGAGTGGATAGTGAAAATGTGGTTCATTTATACAATGAAGTTTACTCAGTGGTAAAGAAAGATTGAAATTTGCAATTTGCATGTAAATGGATGAAACTAAAAACTGTTATACTAAGTGAAGTAACACAGATTCAGATAAAACAACAACAAAAACCCACGACATATATTCTCCCTCATATGTGGATCCTAGCACCAAATCCTTATAAGTATGTATTCAGATATAACTACAGGAACCAGGATAATGAAAAGGAACCAGGGAGGTAAAGGAAAAGAAGGAATCTGAAAGAGAACAGTAGGAAACAGGCATAAGGGAGATATGGATTAAAATGGGGTTATTTTAAGGGGAGGGTGGAGGGAGGGTTATATAAGGAAACTTGGGGATAAACGGAAAGAAGGAGCTCAAGAGAAGTGGGACCATAGGAGAAGGGTATTATTAGGGGAGAAATGGGAAAAACAGGGGCACCTTAAATGGGAAAACCTGGTGGAAGGGTTAGACAATGAGATAAATAATGCCTAGTTTTAAAAAACCAAAGGGAACCATATTAATCAAACAACCTACTGACAAATTATACATACAACCAGATCAAAGAATGCAATATATGCCTAGGCAAGGTTTACCTGAGAGCGTTTGGTCTTTACTCGAGCTTTATCTATGAGGCATATGGTAATTTAAAGTACCAGACTGGTGGAACTAACCTTCTTGGATGTTTAACAGCCATACTTTGAGGCCTATACTAATTTGGACAGAGGGACTTAAAGGACAGATTTTGTTCCTTTCCCTCCTAGGTCAACTAAATTCCAGGAGACTATGAGCATGTCTGAAAATGTCCTGAAAATGTGGTGAGTCACCTGTCCTCTTGATCAAGGAGGCCATGGAGACCCCACCAGATGGAGCTGAACCAGTGTCCAGTCAATACAGAGGAAACATTTCCTCCATGCTTCCAAGTGAAGCCAGCCATGATCGAGCAGGACCTTTGACTTATCTTCACATAGACAGAATTGATATAAGAAAGGAGCCAGGGGTGCCTCCCAAGCCCATGTGACCCCTGAGGAGCAGATCCTCAAACGACCTTAAGAGTAAAAATAAATTGGTTTATCTGGGCCATTTGCAGGGTCTTAAACACCCAAAAGGAAAGTATAACCAAAGAGTAATGGGGTCAATATAATGTTTTAAGAGTCCATATGTATAGCTAAAGGCTACATAACAAGAAACAATGCCAGACAGGAGATACCTTCCTTTGAGTTACTGTCCAGGGTGGCCCAAAAGACTCCCAGACAGTAACCCAGCATAAAACTGGGAAAATGAACAGCAGACCCCAATGTTATCTAAAGGAATGTTGACAACTGATTGCTACTAGATGAGGAATAGCTGATCTTCCTAAAACAAGGATCTCTAGATAGGCTAACTAGATTCAGCAGATGGACAAACACTGGGGAATAGCTGGGGGTGCTGACAACACAGTGGACAGTAACAAGGATGACAGGGTATATGGGCTCCAGTCGGGGGGGGGTGCTATGGGAGGGTGCCATTTGGGATGTGGGTATATAGATGAATAAGATTGTGAGGGATATTCTGTATGATATACACACACACAAATCAACAAATTTTAAAGACATTTGAGGAGGAAGCATAAAAATTTACGTCATGTTAATTAGCAGAGGTGATAAACATTACCATTGAAATCTACCTGATGACTTTATATCCATATTCAGGTGCCAAGGATCCAAGTGTAACCAACTGTGACTAGTAATAATCAGATACATAGCAATTAAAGACACATGTGCAAACATCTAAGCGTTAGTAGCATTAAAAATGTAGGAAACAGCATATTTAAAAATGAAATGGAGCTCTTCTTGAAAGGGTAAAAACTCTTCAATTTTATGTCTTACAGGGTTTATACCGAGTTCAATATTGTATAGCCGTATTAATTCAATTGTGAACCTAAAAATTTACAGCCACTTTTGAAAGAGGTGTATCCTTGCTCTAGAAATTGTTACTGAATATGTTAAAGCTGTAATGAAATGCTCCTTCTAATCATGTGGTTATTAAATAAAAAATTTAAAAATTAAATAAAAAAGTAATTTTTTTTAAAGTAAGCTAATTGCACGTGGAAAATATTAGTATCATCCCAAACTAAAAAAAAAAAAAAACTTAAACATGGGAATATGTCCCATCTAATTCAATTTAAATAAAATTTCCAAACAGGCAGAATTAACCTCCAGGGACAGGAAGATCAGTGGTTTCCTGGAGTGGGAGGACATGTTTGCACATGTGTCTTTAATCTCTCTGTATCTGATTATTACTAGTCACAGTCGGATTATTACTAGTCACATTCGGGTCCTTGGCACCTGAGTATGGCACCTTGGCACCTGGTTAGTAGTTAGACCTCCTAACTGCAAAGGAAGATAACAAATGCTGTAGCAAAGAAAATGTTCTTTATCTTGATGATGGTGACACTGATCCCTAAATGTCGACGCTGACTGAACTGCTCTGTTAAAATAGGTAGATTTAATGACATTTCCAAAAAGATCAAAGAAAAAAGCACACCAGCAATGGGGCAGAGAAAGCCACAGCCTTGTTCCTGTCTTGCAGCTGAATGTGCACCCAGTTCCCAGGCTTCTACTTGTTTCTGGAGCAGCACGTGAGGGAGTCGGTTTCCCACCAATGAATGGCTGAGTGAAATTATATTAAAACAGAAGACATAACCAAATGATGCAAGAAATAAACAAATGCCTATGGGATGTGCTGGTTCAATCACATAGGAATCGTTCCCAGTCAAATGACTAACTTCTGATACCATTAAGCCCTTTTGTGATTAGAATGATGGAAAGTTGCCAAGGTACATTCAAACTGTACATGAGTCTGACTTGGGGGGACTGAACAAAATGCTACATCTCTTAACAAATGTTTAAGAAAATCTCATTATAAATAACAGGTACATAGGGCTGGAGAGATGGCTCAGTGGTTAAGACTGCTCTTGCAAAGAACCTAGATTCAGTCCCAGCACCCACATGGCGACTAACATCTGTCCATAACTCCAGTTCCAGGAGCTCCAACACCCTCTTCTGACCTCTGTGGGCACTGTAGGACATGGGTGCACTTACATACATGCAGGCAATACACTCATACACATAAAATTAGAAAAAAAAAAACCCAGGTACATGGTTTTAAATATGGAGGATAATTTGATAGGATCAATGTATAAGCTCATTTAATCAAAGAAATAACAATGTAATTTCTCTCCTTAAATAAATTTTATTGTACTTAAGAATGAATACAACCTTCAACTGGCCTTAGAGATTGAAGAAAATATTTTTGCAATGTTGGAATGAATTCTAGGACCTCATACATGCTGAGCAAGTACTGTACCATTTGGCTACGCCCTAGGCCCTTAAAAACTGTATTTTAAAAATGAACTTTCACAAAGCAAGTATCTATTAAAACAAGATTTTATGAATATTTTTCTTCCTACACCAAAAACTTGCCTTGTTGGTAAAGTCCACTGACACCTGGTTCCTACCCTTCCAGTTTTTCTGAAGAAATTTATTCTACTTTGGGGAAGTCATGTTTCAATTTTATCTCCAAATCTTACTGTAGACAACCACTGTGGTTTACAGAAATGTGTTCTTAAAAGTGAAGTGCCATCGGAACAAAATTCTAGATATTTCACCTTATTAAGAATAATTTGGTGAACAACGCGTTTCAATTTTACTTATTTTTCCTTCTGTTACTCTTCTTTCTGGCTCATTTCAATGTCTTTTGTCCTCCAATTTTAAGGTGAAAGTTTCTAGACCTTTCTGCCTAGACTTCTATTGAGGACCTAGCTGAATGACTCCAACCCCTGACCCTAAAAAAGCAGAAATCATCACTGCATGAATAGCATCCTCAGTTCTTTTGACTGACAGCTTCACACTTGGTCTTACTATGGAAGCAGTGACTCACCCCTTATCAGATGGAGAAACAAAGGTTGCACTGGGTACCAGCTGTGACTCACCTAGCTCCAAAAGTCCTGGCAACTCCAATCACTGAGTGAAACAGCAGTCATAATCAGTTTTTATTGATTTCTACATATTCAACTAATGAAATACCTTTACAAACCATGTACACCCCTCCCCCATGGACTTGTCTTACGACACAGAACACTTTAGGAATATGTCTGTGGGAGGAAAAGCACACTTAAAAGAGGCTGTAGGGAGAAGTGAAGGGAGAAACAGGAGAATGAGATTGCAAAACAAATCTTCAGATAGGCCTAAATATTTGGCAATAATTTATTTAGAAAAAAGTCAGACTTGTAATTTAGAAATATATCAAAAGTGCAGTGCATCAATTTCATTAGAAGTCAGTAATGCTGGGAGTGTCACCTAGACACCTTATGTTCTATCAAGCAACATCCAGATTCATATCTGTATTCTTATTAAAATAATGGTTTACATGATAACCATAAGTGTCCTCCGTTAAATAACCTGCATTAAATCATGGTAGAGCTAATATTTTTTTAAAAATCCCATTTATTTATTCATCATTAAAATCTGATAATACCCCCAGAGAATAAGGGACCTACATATAGGAAGATAAAATAATCTTATTACACCAGCTAGTAAGTAAAACACAGACACAGGCACATCTACACCAGATGTTTCACACTGATGCTTCATTCGAATGAAGTCCTACAAGTAATCAATGTCACGGCACCCATGAAGAATCAACCATTTCTGAAACAAGGGGTCATCTTCACATTGGTATTCCTCGGTTATGGTGTTGACTCTCAGTATTCTTAAGCACAAGAATTTTTTTTTCTTAATGAATATTCAGGGCGGATTAAGGCAAAAGGACATAGCCTAGTCCCTTCAATAGCTTATTTTCTGTCTTATTTAAAATAGTCTGCTGGCTGAAAAGACACAAGCTGCCCCTTGGACCAATGTCTGACATTTTAACCATGTAATTAACATCTTGGTCCTCCCAGTGTCTTCCCTCAGTTTAGCATTAGGACCATTCCTTAACACTACACACAATGCTGATGTTCAAATGACACCATTTACTTGTATCTGAGCTGTGTGCAGATTGTTTCCTTATTTAAAATATTTAGAATAATCAGGCAATAAATTATTTGGTTTTTGTAAATTCTCCATTGCTTAATTTTTCATTTTCACAACCATTTTCTGCAAAGCCATTGAACTTTCCTTCCGTCATCTTCTTCACATAACTATGTGGTCCTTTGCCTTCAAAGGACGAGGGATTTTTGAATGAGCCTCCAATTCTATCCCACAATGTGAAGTACTGTCCGTAGTTATAGTCAAAGAACATGTGGTGGTCTGTATGATGAGCCGACCCATTAATAAATGGCTTTAAGATCTGGGGAACACGAAAATCACCATCGTGAATAGAAATCGTCCAGATATTAACCAACACATATAAACCTAAGTAAACCACCTTGTGAAGTGGAAAGACAAAAGGGTATATATGGTAAGGCAGACTCTGAAGGAAGCCATCCACAGGGTGAAAAGCATGACTCGCAAATGGAGTGGGAATCTTCCAAATATGATGAGGCTTATGTATGCGCTGAGGAAGAAAGGAATATGGTTAGTGTGACTCATACGGTACAGCGAACTTTGTTTCCACACTCCTGCTACTGGATTGGCAGTAATGCCCTAACTGGAATGGCAGTCGCTCCTCCTTTACCCCAAAGTTAAAATCTTAACACAGTCCCTCCAGGTCCACAAAGAAGAAAGCAAACAAAATGTACTGGGACCTTCAATGACTATAGCTGGCTGGGTATTTAATACAGGTGAAGAAATTCCTGGGAACCAGAGAACAACATTTACACTGCTGAAATATGTGGGTTTTTTTTTGTTTCTCTTTCCCATTCAAATAACTCTACCTTGTATACAAGCCTGTGGTGCAGGCCTCTGTGAATCCAGTAGATCAGCATGTCCGTGAAAAAGAGGAAGGAGAACACACTAACAATGAGTTGAATCCAACCTAGAAGAGAGGACAGGGAAGACCAAGTCAAAGCTTGGCTCCAGGATTCTGTGCCGATTACGTGTCCACCTAAGTGCAAAATGGGGTCCTGAACTCAAACATGACCAGCTGTTACGACCAACTCAAATCAGTCTCCCTAGAATCTGATCACTTTCTTACTTCCCCCTCATTTAAGAACTTGAAATGGTCTACCTTTAATTAATTTCTCTTTTTTTAAATTGAATTTTTAGCTGGTACACAAAGCCATAAAAAATGTCTATACAGTTTTTTTAAATTAATTATTCGTGTCTTTTTTGTTGTGAGCCTGAGCATTTATACCCTCTTTCCAGCCCTATTTTATTATTTTTAATTATGTGTGTCTGTGTGTGAGTACATGCATCTAAATGTAGGTGTACATGGAGGCCAGAGGCACTGGATTCCCTGGAGCTGGAGTTAAAGAAGGCGGTGAGCCACGTGATACGGATGCTGGAAACCGAACTCAGGTCCAAGATGCATTCTTAATCACTAAGCCATCTCTCCAGCCCAAGTATTCCTTAATTACACTACAAAGATACCCACGAGACAGGATGCTCCTAAGAGATCTTTTTTACTTCAATCTTTGAAAATACTACTCCATTGGGTTTTTTTTTCATATTAACTTTCCTAAACCATATCTTTGTGCAGTATCTCCCTGCCTAGAACAGTTTTCCACTAAATACCTTAACTCTAATACTCATCCCATAATGTGTCCCTTTTCTGGTAACTCCAGCCTCATCCTCCTGGTAATTCTCTCGTGACCAGGCTGATGTGCTTAACTTCTCAGTGCCTGGTGTGTCTTACCTCTGACCCTGGTTCACACTGCCCGCAAATCTAGAATGCCTTCTCTCCAATTCCATTCATCCTCCCATGCATTCGTTACAATTCATCACCCCAGGGAATACTTTTTTGCAGCCTCTTCTAAATAAGCACCTCTTATGTTGAGCTCTCATACCAACAATCTGGGTTCACAATTCTGAAACCACCTCTATTTGCTGAACAACAGAGGGATGCTCCTGACACTGTTCATCTAATATACTTACAAAAGGAGTGCCAACAGTGCCTACTCCACAGAACTCCATAGAAAACAGTGGGTGATACATGGGCAGAGCTCAGAACTGCTGCCAGCAAATATCAATCTCAATAAATGCTGTTAATTTCTTCCTATATATAGAAGACTGTTTATAAATGAAATATATATTTTTATATATATATAAAAGTTCTTCTTAGTAGGACCTTCCATCTACACAATAAACTACTACAACTAATATACTCTATGTCAGTATTTACTGAACGAAAACCATCAGAGTGCAAACTGCACACGCAACACTGTGTTTGCTCGATGTAAAAAAGGAAGCATGAGCCACAGGTGGGAGGATTGATGTGAAAAGACTTGGCGTTTCCAGCAGCAGGAGAGTGAGGCTTCTAGTTTTCTAACTTCCACAGACTACTGCAATTACTTTCTCAGAAGTTTGAATTAAAGCTCACAGGAAACAAACACAAGGGTTCATCCCTGATCAGTCCAGTATTCCCTCAGGCACAATTTCATCTAAAGCTGACTTTTAAATTGACAGTGGAACTGAAAGTCTATACATGAGGCAAGACGTGAATGCATGAAAGCAAAAACAGTAAAAACAACTGGACAATTTCAAATAAAGATGCAGGTTTGGTTCTTTGAATAAAGTAACCTATAAGCCAGCTGTGGAGGCACACGCCTGTCATCAATCCCAGCGCCTGAAATTCAAGTGCCAATTTAAAGCGAGCCTGTCTAAAAAGGAGGTATACTAGGCTGGGTGTGGTGGCATACACCTTTATTTCCAGGACTTAGGAGGGAGAGGCAGGTGATCTCTGTGAGTTCCAGGCCACCCAGGGCTACATAATGAGGAGGTAGAGAGCTTTCCTGAGGGTGACACCCAAGGTAGCCCTTTGGCCTCTTGTGCATACACACACGTGCACACACATGCACACACACACACACACACACACACACACACAAATACAAAAAGGAAGAGAGAGAGAGAGAGGCATTTACTCATGCTTAGACCTCCCAGTATCTGCTTACCATTTGGAAAGTCTCCTATGTCATCATACAGTTTGCTGTAACCTCTCAACTCCATGAGGAACAGTGAGACTGTAGGGATACTGATCCACGGCAAAGACTTGACAGTGTACTTAATCTCTCTTGAGACTTGATTCTGAAGATGAAATTTTCAATATTGAAAAGTCACACACACACACAAAATCTATGTTTAACAAACTATCATAAAAATGTCCTGAACTGGTATCTCTCTCTCGCTCTCTCATACTGCTTCTAGGGGTTGCTCATGCTAGGCAATGAACCACTGAACTATATCCCTACCCCTGAATTTTCTCTTTTTAATTAATTTTATTTTATATCTTATTTTTAATTATGTGTACTGGTGTGTCTATTTGAGGTTATGGGCACGTGACTGCAGTGCCCACAGAGGCCAGAAGATGTTGTTGGATCCTCAGGAACTCGAGTTGCAGGCAGCTGTGGACTGCCCAACATGGATGCTGCATACTGTAGTCTTAACCGCTGAGCCATCTCTCCAGGTCCCGAAATTCTTTTATATTAAGAGACTTCCAAACTCTAAAAACTTTAATACATAGGACTATGTAATAAAAACATTCCTTTTGTACTGAGCAAAGGTAGTACATCCCTTGAATTCTGAAACCATTTCTCCTCCCCACCCAATCTGTATTCTAAGTTTCTATTTATGGGATAATCACTTCTTTCACAATGAACTTTCCTCCAAAACTCTTCAGTCTTAGGAGTATCTGACAAAGACCAGTAACTGAAATAGAAAATTATTCCAACCCAGTTGTGAACAACTCTAAAACTCCTGAACTTGAATCCTGTTCAACCAAAGAAAAACCATACCTAGGAAGTATTTCAGTTTATGGAAGTCAAGCATTAAAATATTTATATAAACACAGTAACTGCATATGTACATTTATTTATTCATCAATATCAGCAAGGCTATTCTCATCTATGTGCATAGCAAAATAAAATTCTAGGCTAAGAGAAAACAATTAGGTTCACTTACTTACTTATTTATTATTTACAGAAAAGAGGTGATAGTCCTTAGAAAAATATCCAACCTTTTGGGGGCCTGTTTTCAAAACCTTTTCTCATGGTTACAACCAGTTTAACTGAAAACTCAAATATATTATAGCTTATATTTACTGTAATAGCGGTTAGAAAATCTCTTACCTTTAAAAACTGTGGATGTTTCATTAATGAATGATCATAGACAAAATAATAGCTCAGTGTTGCACAGACAAAATAAAGGACATAAGCACCGAGATTTGTGACAATCAGGAGACTAATGGTTTGTCGGAAGATGTCATCCTCAGGCCATGTTGCTGGATACAAGTACGGTGTAAAAAAGTAGTAGTCTGCAGCACTGAGAACGAGGTCCATCGCAGCCCCTGAAGGACAAACATGCGGATGTTTACGCTTCACATCTATACTTCTATAAGGCACGTTTCGTCAAACCTCTATACAAAGGTCCCAATTTAAGAACCATCATAGGTAGTGTGAGTCCGCAGAAGGGATCTACGAATCACCTCTAGGCCCTTCATAGTACACACAAGAGCACTGAAGCTAGAGAAACTGCGGCTCAGGAAACTGCTTCTAAGGCCATAGAGCTGGAAAGGGGTGTATCCCAGCTCTAATTCCACCTTACGGTTCTTTACTACAACTAATGGTAACACAGCAGGTTGTAAAGATGGGAATGAATGAGTACCAGGATGGTCAGCTTACTCCTTCAGCCACAAAGCTCCAGCTACCTTTCTCCTTAAAAGAATCATATCCCAGTGGTTGTTAGTTTAATGCTGATCCTGAGATGAATTCTCTAGAAGGACTAGGGGAGTAGCTAAGTGGTAATCTAATGCAACCAAGTCCAGGGTTCAAGAACCAGCACTGAGGTAGGGATGGTGGGGGTGGGGAGAACAACTAGAATGCACCTCTCTTCCTATTATTCATATTCTAAGTTTCAGGCTAGCAACATGCTGCCCGCCAGAGCCCTTCTGTAAACATGCTTTACTGGAACACAGGTATACCCAGATGTTTACACGCTGTCCCAGTGCCCCTGACTACTTCCCCGCTACAAGAGGGGCCCAGTTACTCCACTCGAGTAAATAGCTGAGGCTATTTAGTATCCGGTTCTCTATAGGAAAAACTGCCAGTCTCTGTTCCAGATGTTTAACCTTTGCAAACCTTAAGTCTACTCTAGACACATGCTCCTGTGCACGTGGCCAGCTTTTGTGATCCGACTACAACACGGATGATTCAGAGTTCCACACTCATTCCTCATAGGAACACTGGTAGAGAAAATGTGCTGAGTGTTCCAAAATACCTCTCATTTATAGCTGGAGTTTTTAAAGACCAAAAAGCCAGTGTGGGAACTGCCAAAATACATCAGACTCCAGGTATTCAAACAGCCTTTTACTGCTACATATTGGGCTATATAAATATCAAGTCATGAAATAAAATAACCTATAGGAAAGAAAAATACATCTGTTCGCAACTCTGGGCTCCCCACAAGATGTTCCCACTAATTCTCATAATTAGGTCTTCAAAGATTAATACATATACGTAGTTCAAAATGACATATTGACAAAAAGGATAATTTGTATTCTCGCTTCCAGTCACTTCTCTATACACTGTATTTATCAGTTTTCTTTGAATCTTTATTTTGTTTTTATTTTTTTTGAGACAGTCTCCCTGTAGCCCCAGCTGGCCTGGAATTCACTATGTAGACCAGGCTGGTCTCCATCTCACAGAGATGTGCCTGGTTCTGCCTCCTGAGTGCTGAGATTAAAGCACCCAGCCCACTAATGGTGTTTTTTTAAAACATGTAATAGCGACTGTGAAATTACCCTTCCCTCACCCCTTACAACGTCAGTACAGTACACATACACTGTGAGGTTCTTTTCTTATTCTTAATACATATCCTGGAGTGTGTTCTATCTATTTAAAAATAATCTTTTTTTCCTGTTGTTTTCAAGCAATTGTATTGATGTAATTTTCATTTTAAAGTGGATGACTCATTAACTCTTTAGTAAATTCTCGAAACCTTAACAATCATTATTATCATGTGGTTTCAGAACATTTTCATCGCTGTAAGAAGAAACTCCATGTTGAGCTTCCTGAATGAGTAGATAAAGGGCTCTCGTGAAAAGCAGGCCGCTGGGGCCACTTCTTTACTGCTCCTACTTCTTGCATCCCATGGAGTCCCATTCATTTTAACCATCTGGAACCAACTTGTCTCTCAGCTCCACTGGGGTGTGGGCTGTGATTTCAATACTTCTGTGGCCTTCACTTCCTGCTCACCCAGATCTTCAAGGGTAGCCACAGATGAAGGATTCAGGCCTTCTAGTTTTTTGAGTCTGTGCATAGCCAAGTTAGTAGAATTCATTCCAGATTCCCCAGAAGGCAATGTTTCCTGGAGGCAACTCATTCTGCCATACTTCCTTTAAAAATTTTTGGTCAGGCTCTCTCTGGTTACTGCCTCTGCTGCTAAACAAGGATGGTTCTCCCCAAACTCCCAGGAGTGTGCCTGTTCCCACCCAGCAAGTTTTAAGTCAGTCAATGGAAGTCAAGCCTTAAGAAAAAGTCTTCTAGGGAATTAGAGACAGCAACAGTCCTCTCATTGGGGATTTCAGGGAAGCTAAAAAGCCTTTCTCTCCCCTTAATGGGGAGAAGGTTGTACTTTTTCACATTTACTAGGCTACAAGGCTATCAAGAAGCTGGGTAAGGGGGATGGAGAAAAGACAGGTTAAATGGTGTGCAGTGTGCATACATACTACCAGCAAGCTCACTTATGGGCTAGAAGGACAAACTGTTGAAGTTTAACTGGCAGGGAGGACCAATAAGAAAGCAGTGCCTAGGACAAAAAAATGAAGATTCTAATCATGTTTGATTAAGTAAACGTAACGGTAAAGGAAGTAAACAGATGTTGCTAATGGTGTGTAGATCACAAAACCAGACAGCATATATGAAAAACTGCCATTGAATGATGCATATTAAGAAGAATCAAAAATGAAGGAAGCAGGGCAGTGAAAAATATTTGAAACTATAATGAAGGCAATTGGGAATTTATTCCCAGACAACGCTTCTGTGTGTCCTCCACCTTGACTTCATGTTAAAAATGTTTCTGGCACTTACTTTTCCTCCATTCTAACTCGGATACAGCCTTTCTCACCAAGGAACATTATGCTTAGGAAAAGCATGATGGTATATGTATGCACACGGCACACCATCTCCTTCAGTAGGATGCCTCAGACACATAACCACACTAGCATCTACCAACAATTCCCTGCTCTAGTAGCTATACTAATGCCAGCTTCATCCTCACTCTCATCCATCAGGCTGCCTTCAACTACATTTGATATTGAAATTAAGTACAAAGTAACAAAACCACAAAAAAAGCAAAACACTGCCAGAAGGGTCCCTCTGGGAGGAATACCTGGACAGGTGGCACCAGTCACTTGGAGTCAGGAGTTGTCATCAAATGAGTTTGAGTGCCGAATCTGAAGCCAAAAGAAATCACTTTCCAGACTTTGAGATGGTGATTCCTCCTGTATTAAGTAAACTTTTACAAGTAGAAGAGCAATCAGAGAGAAACATTTATAACCTGATACCTACTGCTCAACTGTTCTCCATGGAGTCAAACACTTTGTAAGTCCTAAAACAATGGAGGACAGTACCTATTCTCTACCATCTGGTCAACAGAGGGTATCATCAAACTCTTGGATATTCTTCAACTTAAATAGGAAAGAAAGGGCATCTTGCTATAAATGAGGCTGAACATTATTTCATATATTTGAAATAATTTACACTTTTTCGTGAATGATCTGTCTTCATCCTTTTCCCATTGTCCCCCGGGGACTTTTTAGTCTCTTCATAAAAATCAAATTCTAAAAGCTCTTCTCCCTCTCCCTTTCCCTTTCACCTTCCCTTACGCAAGCTACTCTCCCACCTCGGCTTCCCAAGTAGCTAAGGCAGGTGCGCAGTACTGCATCCAGCTAGCAGCTTGTTTATTAAGGACCTAGGCCTTTCCTTATGATATGAACCACAAGTATTTTCTCTCACTTTGTCAGGGGAAAAACAACTTACAGCAAATATTAGGTACTAACACATATCTTTCATCATTTATGCCACTGTTAATTCAAAAAGCAATTTAACAGGAGTCAAGTACCACACAGTGATAAGTACCTAAAGTTCATATAATTTTGTGGGTTACAGCCCTCAAAGTCAGAGGCTCCATCAAACCTAAGTTAATGAAATAGCATTGCTTGAAACCAAAGTTTATATTAAATCTTACATTGCTTTTGCAGAAACAAACACATTTTTAAAAGCACAGTTAACAATTAAACAGTAGGACTAGGGATGCAGTTGAGTGACAGACTGCTTGCCTAATATGCCAAAAGCCCTGGGTTCCATCCCCGCATGGGATAAGTAAATACACTATGGGGCTTAGAAAACTTGAATCTATTATTCAAGGTAATCTACTATTACCTTTTTTGCTTAACTAAAAAAGTGTAGAAATAATGGCTAACATTTATGGGAAATTAGATATTATTTTAGCCTCTCTCCTTCCACTCTTGAGACAGGGTCTTGCTATGTAGCCTCCACTGGCCTGGAACTGTAGTCTTCCCTACATCAGCCTTCTGAGATCTCAGATTACACCTGCCTTTTAACTGCTTTTAAAGTGGAGGATTGTAATCTCACCCAATTTCTTAGCTCTATTTATGTACTTATATAATCTCAACTTTATATACAAGAAACTGAAGCCAGGAATAATTTAAAAAAACTGGAAAGTGGAATGTAAATTCTAGCCTTTGTTCTCTTGGCTCCCCAGTGCCAAATGTTATCTCTCAGGATGTTACAGAGCTGAGAAATCCTGAGAAGCCTATGCTAATTATATTACATAATGAATGTAAAAGCACAGAGTAAGATAGCAAGGATCATGTATTCATTAGGTACTTATTACTAAATACTCAGAAAGCAACAGATGTTGGTATGAAGAACGCTAACCTAGAAAAGTTTTCACCAAAAGCACTCCATGTTCCAGTCTGGTAACTTCTCTACTGAGACCAAGTTTCTTTTCTTCACCTGTACCACTTTCTCATATACTCTGCAATTCGGTAGGCATACCAACATGCATGTTTATTGTTGCTGGTTTTTTAAAAGAAGCTGAAGATTTTCTCCCTAGTAATCTACAAGCGCTGAGAGCTGGCCACTAACCTCATCAGGCTGCAATACTTAACAGATATTGACCGGTTCTTAGCCTAGTTCCTTCTCCCTAGCGCCTCCCTAGTAAGAGGACAGTCCAAAACGAAGCCCATCGCAAGGGAAAGCATTAGTGTTCAAGACTTCCCCTGGATCTGGGAGCAGCGGACAAGCTCCAGCGCTGGTGGTGATACGGTTCCCCTCTGTCGGTGTCCTCCACGCCCAGGCCCTACGACAGGCCAGTCTCCACGAGGCCCCGAGGTGTCGGTCTGGCTGTCACCCAGCGCCACCCGCGATCCGACCAAGCACCGAGGATGCCCCCGCCCCTGTGCCGAGGATGCGGACCACCCGGCAGTGTGTGTCCCCGCACCTGCCCAGCATCCAGGGACCACCGACCAGCGCCCCCGGCCCTCCCCACAGCCGCCCGCCTCCCGGCCCCCGAGGGTGCTCCGCTGCCCGCGCCGCGTCTACCTGCCCAGGTCCCGGCGGTCCGCTCTGGATACAACTGCGGTACCCGCTGTCCCCGTAGGCGCGCTAAGGCCAGAGGACACCGCCCACTGGAGCGGAACACCGCCCACGCGCTGGGCGGCCGGCCTATCAGCGGCCGGTGCCATAAGCTGATATGACGGCGGATCGCGCGACCCGGAGCTGCTCGGCTCTCGGAGGTCACGTGGTCTCCGCGCGCGGCTCCGCCCCCACCTCCTGGGGCGGGGCTCACGCCGCGCCACACCGGGAAGTGCTGCGGCACCTGTGCGTGCTCGTCCACTTGCTTCCTAAGCAAGCTTACAGGGTTTGTGCAAGGCTTCCTAAATAGAAAACTCTGTGACACTTCCTTTGAAACGAATGGCAGAGGCATTTTCCCACGCCCAGTGTCTCAAACGTTCATCAGTTTGCTAATATTTTCACATCCCTGGAGCAAGTCTTTTATGTTTAGGTCTACCCGAACCGGTTTTCAGAGGTGTTTAAATGCTGACATAATGAAAGTATGGATATGGGCCCTTCCATTCTTTCAGATTGCTCAAAAATCAAACCAATTTAAAGATCAAATTCACAAATCAGGATTAAGGAGTCTAGGCAGCAACCCATTCATTCTATAAAAGAAGGATAAAAAAGGTTGGTGTTTCACAGTTACTTTCAGAGGACTTACTACCTGGTGGTCTCTGGTAGACACTTTTCTTTGGTTGCTGTGAGTGCCCCCCCCAACCCCTTTTTGATGAGGGGCATTTCAAAAGTCAGTTTGATTTAGTGGCATTTATGAGAGATGCCCTTCTGGGTTGTTCTGATTTGTTTGGTGTCTGGGGCAAGAGCCTAGATTGAAATAATGACCTTTGGTAAATTCCGTTTACAAAATTTGTGAAGTAAGTCTGTGCAGAATAAAACAAAAATTAAAATCTGTGAGTTCCAAGAGGTGTGCCTTGGTGGGCAAGTATAGCTTTATTTATTTTTGTGATTGTTGGCCTTTCAAACATGGATCCTAGTGATCCCATTTTCACATCAACTTTCTTAGGAGCCTCAACTATAGTCGTTCTCAAAGTCTCTCCAGACCCAGGATCAACACTATCTGGGCAACTAGTGGACACATAAGTTCTCCGGAGCTGCCCCAGACCTTCTGGATCCCAATCCTGAAAGGGCTTCAGCAATTTGTGTTTTGACAAACTGTGTAGTGATTCTGGTGCTTGGTAAAAGTTTAAGAACTACTATGTGTTGACCAATCAGAAGGATATCTGACTTCAAATTGACTCTCTTTCTCCAGGGCAATGGAAAAGAAGTTCTGATTGTAGGAGATGAGTACATTTGAAGGAGATAATTTCCATTTCCACTACAAATATTACAAGTAAGGAGAGAAATTATTAGACTCAAATCATTAAGGCCTTTTATATGAATGCCTGCAAGTTTTATTTTTTGTATATGCATATGTATGCATTTGTGTGCGTGTGTGTGCACCCAGAGGCCAGAGTCAACATGGGGTATTGCGAGAAATCACTCTTCACCTTAGTTTTTGAGACAGAGTCTCTCATTGAACCTAGAGCTCACTGATTGAGCTAGATTAGCTGCCAGCAAACCCTAAAGATCCTCCTGTCTCCACCCCACCAGTGCTGGGATTACAGGAGCAGGACACTACATCCAACTTTTTTTTTTTTCAACCTGGATACTGGGGTTCTGAACTCAAGTCCTCACACTTGAGCAGCAAGCACTTTGTCAATTAAGCCATCTCTTCAGCCTCATCTCCTACTTTGGCATTATTGTTTTGTTGTGGTTTTGATTCGGGTCTCCCTGTAGCCCCAGCTGGTCTGGAACTTGCTATGTAGACTGGGCTGGCCTCAATCTCACAGAGATCCACCTACCTCAGCCTCCTGAGTGCTGGGATTAAAGGCATGTGGCACCACACCATGGCTCCCACTTCCTACTTTTAGAATCATATTTCTTTTTCTTTGTTTCCCCTGCTCCTGTTCTCATTTCATCTCACAAGCTTTGAAATTAAGATTTTTAAATTTAGGCCTAGAGAGATGGCTAAATAGTTAAAAGCACCGACTGTTCTTCCAGAGGATGTGGGTTTGATTCCCAGTACCCACAAGACAACTACCAACCAACCATTAGTTACTCTAGTTCCAGGGAATCCAATGCCCTCTTCTGGCCTCCACAGGCACTACATACATGTAGTGTACTAACATAAATTCAGGCAAAACACTCATAGACATAAAAAATAAATACATTTAAAAATAATTTTTTAAAGATTTTTTGCATTCATTCCTGAGGATAATAAATACATGGTTCAAAGGATATTTGCCAACTGCAAGGACCCTACATTTGTGGCTGATCTAGGATAAAGCCTGCCTGTCAGGTTCATTTAGTAGTAAGAGGATTTCCCCTGTTAAACAGAGGTGATGGGAGGCCATTGTTTGGGGATCAAGTTCATACAGTAGGACCATCAGAACAGACCAAACCAAAATGGAGTTACTCAAGCCAACTACCACATAATCAAGTTGAAACTTTAAAGACATAAGTAGGCCCCCAAACAGACCAGTTTTCCCTACCAGAGGGATGCAAAGCAGCCAACCTCAGAGAACAGTCATCCCAAGCTGAGCGTGCAGACAGCAGAGGCCACCTGAGGCTAAGACCTTCTTTCTTGCGGGTAAGGACCAATGAAACCATCTCATAGCTAAAGCTAAGTTGTTTTTTTTTTTTTTTTTTTTTTTTTCTTTTCTTTTGCTGCATGGTTGTCTATAAATTATGTACAGTGAAGAGAAATCAGGTTCTTTCTTTTCCCAACTTAGCCAATCTGTAAATAAACCCATTTCCTTTTACCTATTTTTGTTTTCTGATTTCTTCTGGAACACAGAAAATTAAGGCAGTGAATTTAGGACTTGAATATCCAGTAACTAAAGAACTCAGTCAACACAAGTCAGTAAAAATAGGTAGTTCTTTATGTTTTCATCTTATAAGAAAAGTAACTTGATACCTTTTTTATTCTGTTTACTTATTTTTTAAAAAAGCACAAAAAACAGATGTTTCCTCTTACCTAGTGAAACATTTTTTGTTTACAGAATAAAGTGCTGTCCAACATAGAATGCAAAAGAATGCCAACTCATTTTCTAAACAGTACTTGTAATTTTGTCTCCTGATATTCCTATGATGTTTGGTGTTGATTGTCAACCCAATAGGATCACTAGATTAGGAAGGTGACCAGCTTAGTGTGGCTATAAGGACATTTCTAGAGCTATCAAATCATGAGTGTCTGACCCACTATTCTACCACCTCCCAATAGTCTATTGATGGATTCAGAATTTAAATAGACTATTGGGACGTGGTAGAACAGTGGGGTGTAGGGATTGGTTGGAGGAAAAAGGTCACTTGTAGGGGTGCTTGTCCTGGCATCCTTCCTGTATGCTCTTTCTCTTCTGGACTGTTCCCTTCCAGCCACGATGGACAGAGACCTCCAAAACTGTGAGCCAAAATAAATAATTCCTCCTCTAAGCTATTTATATAAATTATTGTGTTACAGTGATGTAAAAGTCTGATTAATATAATTCCCTTCACTAGATTCTGGGCACATTGGCTCACACCTATAATCCCAGCACTCGGGGGGCAGAGGCAGGAAGATGTCTGTAAGTTCAAGGCCAGCATGGTCTGCATAGCAAGTTCCAGGATAGCCAGGGCTACATGGTGAGAACTTGTCTCAAAACAAACAAATAAACAAAAAGCTAGACATTTCATAAACAACTGGGAAATATGACCCCAGATTTTGCAGGGGAAAAATTGCCCATAGTTGCACTGACTAATTTTTCTACATAGCACTTAGATTTCCAGTTTAGAAGAAGCACCAAACCCTTACTGTCTTCCTAGCTTAGCTAAGTCATGCATTTCCCTGGTAACCATAGGTATTGAAATATGTGATTTCTGACCCAGCATCTCAATATTAGGAGGAGAAAAATGCTTTACATACTAGATAAATAATATGTAGGAAGAATAAATACATGATAAGATGAAGGGCATATGAGTGTATGTATGTGGTGTAGATGTATGTATATGATGTTTGAAGTGTGTGCATGTGAAGATCAGAGGATGACTTTCAGGGGTCACTTCTCACCCTCTACCCTGTTTGTTGTTTCTGCTGCCTCAGTGTGTTCTCTAAGTGCCATGGTTGGCTTCCTTTGTCAACCTGAACCACCTGGGAAGAGGAATACTCGGTTGAGAAATTCTCTCTATGGTACTGACCTGTGGACATGTCTGTGAAGCATTTTCTTGATTACTGAGTGACATGGAGGGTCCAGCCCACTGTGGGTGGTACCACCCCTGGGTAGGTGGTCCTGGCTTATATAAAACCAACTGAGCAAGGTCAGAGAAGCAAGCCAGGAAGCAGTGTTCCTCAATGGTCTGGGCTTCAGTTGCTGCCTCCAGGTTCCTGCCCTGAGCTCCTACCCTGGCTCCTCTCCATGATGAACTGTAAGGTGAAACAAATTCTTTCATCCCCAAGTTGGCTTAGGTCAGTGTTTAATCACAGCAAACAGAAACCAGACTAGGACACTAGGCTAGCCAGTCTAGGAGCTTCTTGATAAGGACCTGAGTTCGATCCTTACCACCCACTTAAAAATCCAGGCATAGTGGCACATGATTGCAATCCCAGCACTAGGCGAGTAGAGACAGGAAGATCCCAGGGGCTTACTGACTAGCCAGCATAGCCTAATTGGTGAGCTTCAGCTCACTGAGACCCTGTCTCAAAATACAAGGTGGATGGATGGCTTTTGAGGAATGACATCCAAACTTGACCACTGACCTCTATGTGCACCTTTGCATAACACACACACACACACACACAAAGTGGAGGAAATTGTACAAGCTCTTAAACACTGGAAGGGAGTGTCATTAGGTAGCATTTTTAGAATCTATCACAATTGATTTAGACAGAAGGGAAAAATAATATTACAGTTTGAATATAGGTAAGGTCTATGTTTTGATGTCTTGGTCCCTATAATGGTGCTGCTAGAAGATGCTGTGTACCTTTAGGAAGTGAAGCCTAATCGAAGGTCGTTAGGTCACTGGGGACTTGTCCTGAAGGGAGCTATGGAATCTTGGTCCACCATCTCTCTCTCCACTTCCTGGCTCATGATATAAACAGATCACTGTAC